CCTCACTTCCCTCAGGACCTCACGTCCATCATCTCATGGTCCCAGCAGCCAAAGCTGCCACCAACCTCCAAAGTGCTCAGGAGCAGCAGCTCCAGCTAAGAATCCTCTTTTTGGCTGGCTCAGCACCTGCAACCTGGAATGATTCTTGCTGCACTCCAAAACCTCTTGGAGTGCTTGGATCCTGCCATGCTGCCCTAGCAGCAGTGGTGATTACCCTCCTGCATGGAAATTGCCTTTCCAGGAAGCTGCAGTGACCCACAGCCCTCCAGGAGATCCCAGAAACAGCCTTCACACCTGCCAGTGTGATCCCATGACCTGAAGCCAGCTGGAGACAGACCTTCCTCCCCATTTGTGCTGTGCTAGCACAGAAATGCAACAGACACTGTTTTCCTTCACAGGCGTGCAGGGGGAGGAGGGGGAAGATGGCCTTTTTGTTTTACTCCCCAAGAAACCACGAGAATCCAAGTTGAACATATGGTGCTCATGATTTTGGAGAGGGGGAATCTCTCAACACCCTCCTCATTCCTTGATGTCAGCAAGATTGCCAGATTCTTCCTGTTCCCATTCACACCAGTTGTATTTTTTATTTAACTTTTTTTTTTTTTTTTTTTTAGACCTGAAATTGCCTGTATGAAGTTTTGACAGGCATGACAGCATCATGTGTCTTCCAAAGCTTTCCAGTACAAGCAAGAAAAAAAATAACAAAAAATGGAAGCAGACTATTACTTTGTCACTCACTAAGGAGCAGTTTGTATGCAACTCTGCACATTGGTTTGGCCAACTCATCAAACTTTTATGCCAAAGCAAAACTCTCAGAACTCTGACCTTCTGCTCTGCAAAAGTAGGGAGGGTTCTTGACTCACTTTTTGACAGCTCTGCCTTAGAAATTGAAAGAACTGCCTTACAAATAGCATTCAATTCCAAAGGATGATAAAATGCCACGGGAATTAAGAGAGGTTTGATTTTTTGTTTAAAATCTAATAGGGGTCTGGTTTGGAGCAGAGAAGTTTCCTGTCTGCTGTGCTGCTCCCTTCACCTCACAGAGGGCAGCTTGTACCTGAACACTTTGTCCTCTTTGGAAAACAAAGCAAACTCATGGAATTAATCCTGAGACCCTGTAAGTGATTTTACACAGACAGGTTTTCCATGATCAGTGGCCAGCAGGGTGATTTAGAATGTTCCCAAGCAGCACAGATCTCAGAAATGTGAAAGACCAACCCTGAGATCATGACACCACACTGAGGTGGAATCATGGAATGGTTTGAGTTGGAAGGGACCTTAAATCTCACCTTGTCCCACCCCTGCCATGGCAGGGACACCTTCCACTGTCCCAGGCTGCTCCAACCCCAGTGTCCAGCCTGGCCTTGGACACTCCCAGGGATCCAGGGGCAGCCACAGCTGCTCTGGGCACCCTCTGCCAGCCCTGCCCACCCTCACAGGGAGGAATTCCTTCCCTGTATCTACCCTAAATTTCTTCTTTTCAGTTTGAAATCAAGGTACATCCGTTCAATATCATGTTGTGGAAATGCAAATTATTCTTGCCAGATGAGTGAAAGCCTTAGGAAGACAGAGAGATAAGAAGCCTCTCTAGGAAATAATATCAGATTAAGTGATAACTAAACAGAGAACTCAAAGCATCCTTCCACTTCATTCTTTTCACTTTGATTTCTATCTTTAACAATACACTCAGTAATTAATAGCCTATCACCAAACAACTCACACAAGCATACAGTGTGCATTCCAGATGCCTAATTCTGCTTTCACATAGGGGCCAATAAGACTTTAGTACCCTGGGCCAGAATATATTTTTACTCCAAAAAGTTTAATCCAAATTTTCAGCTAAGGTTACTTTCCAGGTGAGGTCACCTTTTCAGCATAACACAAAAGTTGATTTCCTTAAAATGAAAGACAAGAGGGTTGAAATGGGAATTGACTGGCAGGATTTTCAGGTCCATGCTGCCTGGGATAACAGCAGTGGTGCTGTCTCATGGCTGCTTCCTGATCCACATAAAACACAGCAGATCCATCCCACTCCAAAACCAGCAAAGGCCTCATCCCAGCTGCTGTACAATTGTACCCCCCTGGCCATCTGAACTGAGGAGAAACTTCCCATATACAGAAATACAAGCACTCAGCCCTCCCTGATGTGAGCACTCTGGATTAAAATAACTGAAAACCTCTTCTCTCTGAAGAAAATAAAAAGTAATTAATAGCTAGTGAGTCCTTGCAGTATCTATCCTAAATTAATTATTACCTTAACACACTGTAAAAGTGTTTATACTCCTCACTGCTAAAGAAAGTAACCATCAAGCAAAGGAGTCTGTAAGTCCCACAAATCATCCATGACTCGCTGTATTTAATAATGGTACCTCACTTCAATAAATAACACACAATAATGACTACACTAATATCATAATTAATTTTTTGCTACCCATCTATCTGCCACTACATAAATGTAGAAGTGAGATCTATGCTCTTTTCTTTACAATTGCCATTTCTCTTCTTCTATTTAGAAACAAATGTAATTACTTCAGCTAGAGAAGACAGAATTACTTCTACAGCAGAGTCAAAACATGCATCAACACTCATTTTCTGTAATTATTTCACAAGCAGCTCTGCCTGGAATCTTTCTCAAATGAAAGGACTTTTCAAAAGGCCTTCGGCTATTTAATGAGTAGCACACAATTATGGGCACAATAAAAGAAAAAAAAATTAAAGAAAAAAGAAGAGGTTCTCACCATTTATTTAACCTTTTTCTTTAGTGTCTGCCTCTAAGAACAGAAGCATGTCAGAGAAAAACATGCATGTTCTCACACCCTCGTGTGCCTTCCAGGAGAGCCAGGAATCATGGCTGGATATAAATAAATCCTCTCTGTATCCACGTTTCCCTCCCCAGTATCAGAGCACCTTGCCAAGAGTGTTGTGATTAACCTTAAATCTTTGAAATGATCATTTATGAGGGTTATTGCCTAGACCAAACAGCCACACAGGGCTCCCACATCCCAAGGGATTTAACAGCACCGAGTGCTCACAGTTCACCTGGCTGTGGAGTTAAACATCAGGAGCAGAATCAGGTGTGCTGTGGAGCCAGCATTAGGGAGACATGAGAGTAAAACACTGCAGCAGGCAGAAGTCAGGGCTGGGAGCTGGCAGCAGAGGAAAAACCCCATGGAAGCTTCTGCTGGGATTAGCTGGAGCTTTGCCTCTCCTGTGCTCCAAGGAACAGCAGAAGCTGAGGATCAGAGCAACAAAAAAGACACACGGAGGAGACAGGCTGTTCTTGACAGCCAGATTTCTCTCTTCTCTCATCAGACTTAAGCCCAAATAAAATGTGACATGAGCATGACAAAAGGTTATTCCCCTTCCACAAGCTTCCTAAAGAAAGGAAGTGCAGGAAGTCCACACTCCCACACAAATTCATCACCCTCTGTCACCCAAAGCCTGACAAGTCTCTTTTTATGAATTAAAAAGAGAGCTATTTTAAATTCAAATAAGGTGGTACAGTTATTAAGTTATTTTTATACTCTTCTGCACTTCTAGGAGAGACTTTGAATCCCCTCATTTCCCAAGTAGATGTTTTTAATGCATAGAGGAGCAAACAGCACACTCAGCTCCCCACACCACTCACCTGAGTGATGCCAGAGTGATCAGTGCCACAGAACACCTTAAAGAACCACAGAATGAGAACAACCCCATGACAAACGACAAGAAAGGAGCTGAGCAGTGCTAAACTCTCAGAAGTAAAGAGCAAAGAAGTAACTTCAGGTTTGAGTAGTTTTAAACTCAGTTCATAGCAAGATTAGCATCAATTTTGTGGGGAGGGAAAAATTAATCTTCTAAAGATAAATCTGGAGAATCATGGATAGCTTGTAAAATAGTGTTGAACAGTTTGCCATAAATTCAAGGGATATTCAGTGCAGTAAGATCTCCAACCCAGATACCTAAGCAGAACAGAAATTTGGATACTTTGAGAACTGAAGATGAATTTTAATGACTGAAGAGAAAATTGAGATGGGAAATTGCCTTTCAAATCTTCTTCCACAGCAGTTAATGTTTCAAACTGCCACCTACTACACAACGAAACCTCATTTTGTCTCATCTTGGGATGGCAGAACCAGTAACTGAGAATCCATGTGAGAACCTGCACTGCATTAGAAATGTGATAGTTACTGCTTGGCCCAGGAGTCACACTGAAATCCACATTTGCCACAGGTTTTATTTATGTCTCTATTTTTAGAAGCTAGGCCAGGTTACTTAATTTCCCTGAAACGACTTTCCCTATCCTGTGCAGGGATAGGGAGGATTTCTAATTAGGTTTTAGTGCCTATTCAGTATTTAGTGTGAATAAATGCCACAACCTGCTGACCCTGCAGTGAGTTACAGCCAAAGAGCCAGAAAAAGAACTCTGAGTTCAATGAAACACAAAGCAAAAGGCTAAAGGTCCCCTGAGCAGCCCCTGGGCCACAAAAGCCTGATCACTAAATAGAAGCAAAATGGCAATAAAAGCATCACTGCCTGATTCTGGGACCAGAGGTCTGGGACAGTCACTTGAGTGCATCTTTGCTTTTGCAGAGACACTGCCCTGTCCCCTCCTGCCTGTCCAGCTGCCCCTCATGTCACTGACTGCTTCTGGGAGGAACCTCCTGAGACACAGCACAGTGAGCCTGAGCCCTGACCCCGCCCAGGTGCCCTGGTTCTGCATCAGCACCCAGCTGGGTCTGCTCTGCTCTGTGACCCACACGGCCACCAGCCACCTGCCATGGCCATTAGCCACATGCCATGGCCACCAGCCACCTGCCATGGCCACCTGCCATGGCCACTCCTCACCTGCCATGGCCACCCCTCACCTGCCATGGCCACCTGCCATGGCCACTCCTCACCTGCCATGGCCACCCCTCACCTGCCATGGCCACTCCTCACCTGCCATGGCCACCCCTCACCTGCCAGGGCCACCCCTCACCTGCCAGGGCCACCCCTCACCTGCCATGGTCACCTCTCACCTGCCATGGCCACTCCTCACCTGCCATGGTCACCTCTCACCTGCCATGGCCACCCCTCACCTGCCATGGCCACCTCTCACCTGCCATGGCCACCTCTCACCTGCCATGGCCACCCCTCACCTGCCATGGCCACCCCTCACCTGCCATGGCCACCCCTCACCTGCCATGGCCACCTCTCACCTGCCATGGCCACCCCTCACCTGCCAGGGCCACTCCCCACCTGCCAGGGTGACCCAGCAATTGCTGATTAACACAGCCACGGCTGCTGCATCTCCTCCCTGGGCTGTTACAGTGACAAACTAGTCCCCTAAGGAAGATCTGCTAAACTGAAATGCAATATATCACCGAGAGCCTGCAGTCCCCAGCAGTGACAAGTGTGTCCCAGAGTGCTGAGCGTCCCTTATGTCAACACTGAAGCCAACACGTTCTCCTTCCCCTCTCCGTTTCCAAATGTGCCATAATATTTACTGCTACAATATCTTCCCCCATCAGCCCTTCAACTATCTCCTATGCAGTCTAATTAAAATGAAGTATTGTAACACACAATCAACACTTGCACAGTACTGATGGAGACTTGCAGATGGTATTAGGAAGAAAATAGCTCCTCAGCACTGATTAACATTGAAAGCTTAAAGAAGTTCCTCTATTTTCCATGTGGCATGTCAAGCTGAACGTTTTGACAACAGGAAAGTTGCACTGCTTCTTCTACACTTTAATTACATCAGTAGCACTTCACACTTGAATATCAGTGATTAGAATTAGGCAATAATTAGGTGATTCCTCTTCTTTCATCTGCTACTTCAGCTTCAGCCACACTGAGCTCAGTAACCATCTTCACACTTCAGTTTTAGATGGCAATTTCAGGGTACAAATAAATAAATATTTACACTGTCTATATGAATTTGACAGTGATCCTGTGAGGACGTGGGGGTTAGAAATGCAACTGGAGTGAACTGCAATATCTGGGGGTTGGATCCTCTCCTCCAGATTTTAATGCAGTTGACAAAACAGTGATCTTAAAACATTTCATGCTCTTTGTGTGTTTAGAATCATAGAGTCACAGAATGGGTTGGATTGGAAGGGACCTCAAGGACCTTCTGATTCCAACCCCTGCCATGTGCAGGGACCCCTTCCACTATCCCAGGTTGCTCCAATCCCTGTCCAACCTGGCCTTGGACACTTCCAGGGAAGAATTTCTTCCTAGCATCTAATCTAAACCTGCCCTCTTTCAGTTTAAAACCATTCCTCCTCGTCCTGTCACTCTCTGTCCATATAAACACATCCACCTTTCCAGCCATGAGAATCCCCAAGTGCTTCTCCACAGGGCTTCTCCCAGTCTGTGCTCTTATCAATTTATTGACACTGGATCAGGGGCTGTGAGCTGGGACACAGGTCAGGGTCCCAGAGCACAAACACACGGGGTGGCAGATTCTGAGGGCAATCACAGACACACACGGAACAAACACCAGCTCCTCTATGCAAGATACTGCACAGACAAAATGTCACCCACTTACATTATTACAAAAAATACATTCTATGGGATAAAATAATGAAACCCTCCTCAAAGCTGCTTCTAAGCAAGTGACCTGACTTAGTTAAGTAATTGCCATACATTTTACTTGGAGGTTACTTCCCTCTCCCTACAAACAACTTTTCAAATATACACCTTCAGGCAATTTCCCCCTCAGTTAAGAAATTGTGTCTAAGGAATGATATAATGGCTGATTTGTTGTTCAAAAATGGCTTAACTTACCATGCCAGTGTCTAAAAAACATTAATTAAAACCCAGAATTCTTACCCAGACAACACAATTTATAGGATGAAAAAAAAATCCTATTCCACAGTGCCTCATCCTCCTAGGACAATTCCTAGAATGTGAAGGGAGCAGGATTCACTACTCACTTCACACACCAGTCCAAGGCAAACAGGCACTCGACAGCTGAAAGCTGGGACAGCACTTAAAGGAAACAGAGATCTGAGACTGTGCTTTGAGGGAGGAGAAGCTGAGCTCTTATTCCCACAGGACAGAGCACCAGCTCAGCTCTGAAATTCAAATACTGCTTTTCCACCAGATGAGAGATAATAAAATTTAAAGAAAATAAAGGAAACAGAAGTGAGAGAGATGATAATGTAAAAATTGAACAGCACTCAACCCAGCACTGCTATATCCACAGTGATCTTGACAGCATTCCCAACATCTACTGCTGCTCCTCTCTAAATTGAACTGTGCACATTAAAAGCCACAAAAACCACCATCCACCAAAAAAAAACCAAGCTGCCAATGAGCAGTGCTTGCTGGAAGTCCTGTCAAAGCTCCCCTGGTGGATGTCTCCAGTGTGGTGCATGCTCAGCAGTGTAGGACATGTGAAGCTCTGCACATCACACAGACTGGAACAGATCCTGAGGCTCCCACGCTTCTCTTCCAGCAGACAACACAGAGCAGGGCTCCCTAGATAGTCTAGAGTGGTATTTTAGTGTAAGCAAAGCTAAAATTATAGCAAGCTGTATAATTTGGTGGGTACCTTTGAAAGAAACCCAGAAAGCCCAGAGAATTGTCTGAGCTAAGTGTGATCACAAGGAGCCACAGTGTTCCCTGTGGCAGCAAAGGCGTTCCTGGTGCTCCATGGGGACCTCTGGAAGGGGCAGCACAGCTTCTGCCACCTCCCAGTGGCACAGCAAGGACGGCAAATGCAGGCAGTGAGTGAGGGCAGCTTCTTTCTCAGCAGCTTTTTGAGGCTGGAGAAAGAACTTCCAGCCAGGTTCTCAGCCAACCTCAAAGCTCTGGCTCCACATTCCACTCTCTGTTGACTCTCGTGGAGCTGGGCATGAGGGAGAACAAGGAATACATCTCACAGAGATGTTTTAGTGACCTGCCCCCACCTTCATCTCCTTGATGCCCAGAGTAGACATGGAGCCACCACCCAGCTAAAATAAATTCCCATTTTCCTGTGCCAGTGTATCACAGGGAAAGCTGCCAGCTTTGCCACTCCAGAAAGGTTTTCCATACTGAGGAGGAACCATGCAGCAGACAGAACACAGACAGCAGCCTGGAAGCACAGGGTCACAGTTTTGCATGGAGAATGAATGAGTGATTTGTGCCTGACACTTACTGATGAAAGCAAAAGCAAGAGGAAGGTTTAAATACATTAAAAAATCCAGACCACATTTCCTGAGAGTCCATGAATACAGAGTGGGGAAAGAGTGGTTTCTGATTCAGGGTTTTTGAGTTCTTTCAACCAACAGCATTGTAACTCTCATAAATATCCCAAAAGCCAAGCAGGAAGGATTTTTAAGGATAGACCTTAACAGAGCCTGGGAATCACTCAGCTTTGCTGCCCAAAATGTGACCACATCACTGCTGTCCCTGTGCTCTGGATACACAGGAAGGAAACCTGCAGAGGTGAGAAGGGGCCCAGAGCATCTCCCAGTGGGCTCGTGCTCTCAGGAGGGAACAGGAGGAACAATTGCTGCAGGCTGCAATTTGCTACTGCAGCCCAACTCCTTTAAGGAAGGGAAATTTGAAGGAAATGCTGAAGGTGATAGACCATTACTACCCTGGTCCTTAACCCTGGGGACAACCCGAGGTAGGACTTGTTTCATAAAGTCTTAAAGGCATTTGAGTTTAAAAGCATTTCTGTCTGTCAACACATTCAAGTACATGAAGAGAGGCAATGGCACTCTGTGACTCCTGTGCAAATCTCTGCACTGTGCGAGGGTTTGTCCTCCTGTGCTGGATACAAGGGATGGCTGCACGATGCTTGTAAATCTGTAACTCAGGCAGCACTTTAATCCCATCCTGCTTTTCTCACCTAACCTCTGGAGGATAACCTCTTCTTCGAGTTATTTACCTCTAGTGGGGGCACACAAACACATCTGTCCGGGTGGGAATGTCTGGGTTAAGGGAGGAGCTGTTAAGATTTGCTGACAGCTGGAAAGATCTGAGCAATGCAGTTGGAAAGGGTTGAAGGGATAAGAATTATTGTGCCCAGGGGGATGGTTAACAGGGGATGGGTGCTGCAGTGAGGGAAACACATCCCTGAGGGAGGAAAAGCTGTTTTACAGGCACCACAGATTACAGAGCTCAGTCACAGAACCCCAGCAGGGCTTAGGCTGGAAGGGTCCTTAACAGTCATCTCACTCCCACCCCCTGCCATGGGTGGGGACACCTACAAAGAAACTGAATTATTTGTCAGGTCCTTTTTCATACCATGAATGAGGGAAGCGTGGTGGAAAAAACCAACCCTCTCTACATCATCTTCTAAATATTGCTGTTTCTCAAGCCTGAGTACTGTGGCGAAATTTAAATGAAGATTCATCCCTTTCCCACCAACCTCATCAAGTCATGACTTCACAGGCAAGAACTTGTGAGCAGAAAATTCCATTTTTGCACAAAAGCAATGTCCAACATGGTTGTGTCGCAGGCAGGTCAGAGAGGCTTCAGTTCTTTTTGGTGGACAAAGAGTACATTGCACAGAATATATATAGATTTCAAAAATTATCTTTTCGTTGAAAAACTGAGATCTAGATCTATTGTGAGTTTCTACAACTCCTCCTGTTTCCCCTTAACTTCATCAGCTTCTAAGTGGAACAGTTAGGGACAGTTGTGGAGGACGAGCCTCTAGACAGCTGCCATGAAAAACAGAACATTGTGCCCTCTGTAAAGATAAAAAAAGGGATTCTGTGCCAGGCACACTCTAGATTCTTCATGGCAGACATGACCCTGACAAGCTGAATAAATATGAATACATAAAAGCCCACCAGAGTTCCAGAAGTGTGTGGACAAAGCTTTCAGACACAAATTCCCATTGGAATTTTCGGGTCTTTTTGGTGGATACCCCTGGATTCCTGGGAGTGTCCAAGGGCCAGGTTGGACAGGGCTTGGAGCAGCCTGGAATAGGGGAAGGTGTCCCTGCCCATGGCAGGGGGTGGAACAAGATGATCTTTAAGGTCCCTTCCAACCCAACTATTCTGTGATAAATAAGGCAGAAGGGGGATATTTCAGAGCCC